CAGGCCAGCAAGGGAGGGCAGTGGGGGGGAGGGGAGGAGGTCAGGTCTACAGGGAAGGGCAGTTGCGGGGGGACCCATGCCTGCAGGGAAGGGCAGTTTGGGGGGGACCAGGCCTGCAAGACAGGGCAGTTAGAGGTGACCATACCTGTAGGGGAGGGCAGTTTGGGAGACCCAGGCCTGCAGGGGAGAGCAGTAAAGGGCAATGAGGCCAGTAGGGGAGGGCAGTTAGGGGTGACCAGGCTGGATGGGGAGGGCAGTTAGGGGCAATCAGGAAGGCAGGCAGGCGAGCAGTTGGGAGCCAGCAGTCCTGGATTGTGAGAGGGATGTCCGAGATTGGAGAGGGTGTAGGCTGGACTGAGAGACACACATCCCCCCCCCCCCCGCCCTGCACAAATTTCATGCACCAGCCTCTAGTATTTATGATAAAGGATTTGTGTCTTACAACAACTCAATAGTAAAATGATAAACGGCCCAACTAAAACTAGGGCCAAAGATTTGAATAGATATCTCTCCAAAGAGAATATACAAATGGCCAATAAGCACATGAAAAAATGTTCAACATCAGTAGTCATTAGGGAAATGCAAATCAACACTATGTTGAGATGCTACTTCATAGGATGGCTATAATGAAAAAGATAGATAATAAGTGTTGGTGAGGATGTGGGGAAGTTAGAATGCTCATACATTGCTTTGTGGAATGTACAATGGGGTAGCCATTTTGGAAGGTAGACAGTTCCGCAAAAGATTAAACATAGTATTGCCATATAACTCATCCAAAAACATATACACTAATGTGATAGCAACATTATTTGTCAGGGGCAAAAGTGGAAACAATCCAAATGATGGTCCATCAGTTAATGAATAGTTAAACAAAATGTGCTATATCATATAATAGAATATTATTCAACCATAAAACGAAATTAACTGCTGCCCAGTCAGTGGGGCTCAGTGGTTGAGTACAAACCTATGAACAAGGAAGTCACAATTCAGTTCCCAGTTGGGCACATGCCCGGATGGAAGGCTCAATCCTTAGTGGAGGATGTGCAGGAGGCAGTCAATCAATGATTATCTCTCATCATTGATGTTTCTCTCTCCCCTTCTCTCTTCCTCTCCAAAAAAAATAATGAAATAAATATTTTTTTAAAAAAAGAAATGAACTGCTGATGTACAGGGTGGGGCAAATGTAGGTTTACAGTTGTTCATATGGAAAATAATACAATAATTAATAAATAATAAAACAAGAATAAACACTGTCTTTCACATATTCACAACTGTAGACCTACTTTTGCCCCACCCTATATGCTGCAACATGAATGAACCTTGAACTCAATATGCTAGAAGACAGATACTATATGATTTCATTTATATGACTTTCCAGAATAAGCAAACCTACAGAAACAGAAAGATTAGTGGTTCTCAAGGGCTGGGGAAAGGTAGGAATGAAAAGTAGCTTCTACTGGGTGCAGTGTCTTTTTGGAGTGATGAAAATGTTCTAAAACTAGTGGTGATGGCTATGCAATTCTAAATAAAATTTATGGCATGAGAATTATATTTCAATGATATGCATATCTAGTTATCTACCATTTAGTTAAGAAATAGAACATCATTGTTATCTTTTAAGTCATTGTTCTTTCTCCACATAGCCACATGGCTCACTCTCTCACTTCTTTATCCAGCATTCTGCCCCATTTTACCTCATTAGAGATACCTTCCCAGATTGCCCCACTTAAAGTAGTACCCTTTGCCTATCAAAGGCACTCTGTCTCTATCATCCTGCCTTTAAAAACACATACACACACACATAAACAAACAAAAACAAACAAAAAACCCTTATTGAGTCCTTACTGCTTATTTCCAGAACTTTTTATTACTTAATATATTATTATACAAGTATTTGTTTACTATCAGTTTCCTCTCTGTAGTGTCCAAAGCTGTGGCTGTCCTGAAGGTGGTGCTCATCAAATGTTGGCTCTGTTTGTAAATAAATCCTTGTGTTTCAGATCTCAGGCAGTACTTCCTTCTTTTCTAGTTAGTTCTCATGGACTTAGTCCCTATTCTGAAGTCCTCAGATACTTAATGTCTTTACTTTGGTCCTAAGTTCAACTTTTACGTTAATGTTTGTATATCTTGTCTCTCCAGTCAGGCAAGAACTATATCTTTTTATTTTCCCAGAAAGTCTTACATATAGTAAGAGTAAGCAAATACTCATTAAGTTAAATGTAAAAATAAACCTATTGCTATGGCAGCTCTTAATCTACAGATGTTGAGTCATAAATCCTTTAGTTCCCTCAACAAATTATTTATTCAACAAATATTTATTGAACATCTACTAAGTCTTGGGCACTATTTAAGGTGCTAAATATATAGCATAAACAAAATAGGCAAACTGTCTGTTCTCATGAAGTTTACAGTATAGTGAGGGGAGAAAAAACAAATATGCACATAATATATTTCTTAGTGAAAACTGCTAGAAGAAAAATAAAACAAAATAGGGAGTTCCCATATGAAAGTTGTGGGAGTTGCTATTTTATACATTGTTGGAAGGAAGCATCTCTGGTTTAAGAAGCAAGCCCTATGGATTTCTGGTAGATGAGCATTCTGGAAGAAAAATACAATAGTACAAAGGTCCTGAAATAGAGGGAGGTTTATTGTTTTTGAAGAAACTGTGTGGCTACAAGCCTGAGAGGCTAGTAGATGACGTCATATCATGTAATCCCTTAAGAACAATTGATGGTCTGGGTTTTAAGTCAAGTGAGATTGGGGGCTGTTAGAGAGATTTTATAGGGGATACCTTTGGTTGATAGGTGGAGTTAGAGCCATGTGTCATGGACAGAAGAAGGCAGACCAGTTGGGAGGCACTTGGAATAATCCAGGTGAATATTATACTAGTTTATATTAGGGTGGAAGCAGTGGAAGGGGAGAGAGTTGGTTTGATCCTGGATATATTTTGAGAGTAGATCTAATAACATCTGATTATTGTCTGGATGTGGGTATGAGATAAAAAGGAGAGTTAAAGATAAGTCCTAATATTTTTGGCTAAGTTTTTGGTAAAAGAAATCCCATAAACTAAAAGGAGTGAAAACTATAGGTGATGTTATTTTGTTCTCTTTTTTTGCGGGGGGTAGGGAGAACGATTAGTGTATAATCAGTAAGTTTGGTACATAAAAGTTTGAGATGCCTATTTAAAATCCAAGTGGAAATGACAGGTATGATATATTTAAAGATTAGATATATTGGAGTTAAAAAGAGAGGCTCAGTAAGGCACATAAATTTGTAATTGTCAATGTATGAATATTTTCAAAGCCAGAAAAATCAATATGATCACCGAAGAAATTAATATAAGAGAAAAATTCCTCAGACTGAACCCTCAGGCACTCCAGGATTTGGAGGTTGGGGAGATGAGGAGCAATTACTGATGGACACAATAGGACATAGAGGAAGATCAAGAGTGCCTTAAATTTGGGGAATGTCAGTGTAACAAGGAGAGAACATCACCTGTGTCAGATGCGGTTTGATAAATCACCTGAGATGAGAATTGACCTCATTAGTTATTTAGAGTCTACCATACCAATCAAGTAATTGCCCAGGCAAAATTAATAAACTTCTCAAGAAAAACTATGTCAACACTTGTTAGTTATGAGAGACTGTATCTGTTAAGTTTTGAATATGCAAATTAGAAAACAATGTTCTGAGTTTTCAAAGTGTAACTGTACATTGTATATAGTGGGGTAGAATATAAGGAAAGAATTTTAAAGACATATTTACCTTTTTAGTGCATCACTAACTTGTCATTATTGTGAAAAACCAATAAAACCTATTAACAGAATCTGATTATGAAAATTAGAAAATTCCTCATATCCTTGCCAGCAAATTCATTAGTCATAGAGCCAAATATCAACAGTACAATGGTTGAAATTTCTTTTGAGAGCCAAATTTTTTAACCTTCTTCTAACACCACTTCAAAATAGACTCACCCTGCCGAAACTGGTTTGGTTCAGTGGTAGAGCATCGGTCTGTGGACTGAAAGGTTCAATTACGGTCATGGGCATGTACGTTGGTTGTGGCACATCCCAGGTAGGGGGTGTGCAAGAGGCAGCTGGTCGATGTTTCTCTCTCATTGACGTTTCTAGCTCTCTATCTCTCTCTCTTCCTCTCTGTAAAAAAATCAATAAAATATATTAAAAAACAACAACAACAAAAAACAAAACAAAATAGACTCACCCAGGCCGTGGTATTTGTGGAAGAGCCACACTCAACGGGCCAAAGAGCCGCCTGTGGCTCGAGAGCCACAGTTTGCCGACCACGGTCCTCGCCAAAGGAAAAAGAGGACTTTTAATTAGAAATCTATGCCTCTTGGCTTTCTCTCTCTCCCTTTTTTTTTTTCTTCTTTCCTTCCTTCCTTTTTTTTTCTTTTTCTTTTTTTTTTTCTTTTTTTTTTCTCTTTTTGCAATACGGCTGATGTCGAATATTATAAGTTCCAACTATAAACTAATTTGCTTAATGTAAATTTAATGAGCAAGAAATTTTCTTTTTTTCACACTGTTCAAAGTCAGAGAAGCTTTATTTACTGAACTAACCTTGAAAATTAATATTGCAAGTGGATGATTTGTTTATACTGATCATTAGCCAGACTCATTATGATTATATTACACACCAGTCAATTTTTTAATATTAGATATGCCTTTTTAGTCATCTTAATTCTGTTCTCTAAAATGATTTTTCTGATGTATCAATAAATTAGAAAATTCAAAATTGAATTTTATACCTTCCTGCTACTTAGTTCTAGAATAATGAAATTAATTTGTACCTCTTAATAGCAAATCTTGCTGAGTTTGCTGCTGTTATACATTGTTATAGAATGCTGTGATAGCATAAGGGAATACTACATAGTAGAGAGAAAAATAGTTTAATATGTGATTAAAAGAGCACAGTTATCCTAAACTGTTAATGTGGGGTGAGATTTTCACAAAGATTTTCTTTTTTATTCAAACATTGCTAAGGATTTGAAGCATTCATTACCAGCCGGACTTGGTCTCTCAGAAACCCAAATTACATCTCATGGCTTTGACAGTACCAAAGAGGGGATTACTGAAGCAGAAGCATATGAAGGTAAGAGCCCATGTATTTTTAAAGATGGCTGGGTGGAGGATGCTAGCATAATAAATGCTGCCTTTATTAAAAAGCATAAGAATTGAGTCCTTTAATTCAATGATAAAACACCAATTATAAGCATATTCCTTTTTCTTTTTAATTTAATGATTTAGGAAATGTTTTAGTATTAGTCTTGATATAAATAGATCATTGTGCATGATTTCACTGATTACTAATTAGGAATTATTTTTCCATCACCATTTATCCCCTTTGTGCTCTCTTAGGAATTGGTTTTAAATTATTGAAATAAAAACTCAAAAATTATATCAAAATGCAGATTTAAATGATTTTAGCTTATAAGCACAAAATGTATATAGCTACATTTTGAATAAATACATGTTTCCTATATCAAAGCAATTAGGAAAATAAAACTTTTATTTTTTCCAACAATACATGTTGTATAAGACATCTCCACCATTACCATAAGATTTAATAATTTGCTAAGAAGACTCAAAGGATTCCTTGAGTTAGTATTATTTCAGCAAAAAAAAAATAACAAGCACAGTTAGCAAAGGTAAAGTATGCCTGAGGTGAAGTCTGAAGGAACTAGGCATAAGCTTGAGAAGGTCTTCTCCCATTGTAGTCACATGGGCTGTGCTGAATTTCCTCAGCAGAGTTATGACACACGTGTTACTAAACAGGGAAGCTCATTAGAGACTAAGCGCCTGGGATTTTTACTGGAAAATGCTCCATAGGACCCTCTGCCTCGCATATACCAACATTCTAGGCTCCCAGAAGGAAAGCAGGTATCTAGCATAGATATGTTGTGTAAACAGTTTAGGCACAGTGAGCCTGTCTTACCATTCTGGAAATCTTAACCAAATTTAAGTTCCCCGACACCATTTAAAGGCCATTCAAAGGCCAGTCTTATGAGCTAATCTTTTTTAAGAATAAGCAATTAGACTTGCTGTATTAATTCTTCTGCACATTACATATATATGTCTATTTTTACTATAAAGAACAAAGTTGCATCCTTTGTAATGTTCTTGCCCATAACAACCTTTTATTTATTTTTATTTTTTAAAATATATTTTATTGATTTTTTTTACAGAGAGGAAGGGAGAGGGATAAAGAGTTAGAAACATCAATGAGAGAGAATCATCGATCAGTTGCCTCCTGCACACCTCCTACTGGGGATGTGTCTGCAACCAAGGTATGAGACTTTGCCTGGAATTGAACCTGGGACTTTTCAGTCCACAGGCTGACGCTCTATCCACTTAGCCAAACCGGTTAGGGCCAAAACAACCTTTTAAAAGTGGGTTTTTTGTTTTGTTTTTGTTTTCATTTTTTCATGAGTGAAAGAAAATAAAACCATGTAAATATTTGGGTTTAAAAAATGGGTTTTCTTCCCCTGGTCATTGTGGCTCAGTTGGTTGGGTATTGTCTTGTGCACTGAAAAGGTTGCTGATTTGATTTCAGGTCAGGGTACATACCTGGATTGCAAGTTTGATCCTCAGTTGGGGCACATATGAAAGGCAACCAATTGATGTTTCACTCTCACATCGATGTCTGTCTGTCTGTCTCTCCCTTTCTACCCCCCAAGTATTTCCTTGAGTGAAGATTAAATAAATAAATAAAATATTTACTTAAGCTTTAAATCAATCAATTATGGGACTTTAATTCCATTCTACCGTAGTAATTTATTTTTAAAACGTAGAGTCCAGGCAAAGTTCTGTTTAGACATGCTCTTAAGCAAGTTTCTTCTTATAGTTATGTGTCTTGTTTGGTCTTAAGAATTCGATGAAAAATTTATTCAGGAACTCATCCTGCTCACATTCATTTATTATTTAGTTTATTCCTGCAAGAAAGCAAATATATTAATTCTAGGTGTGTTTTCTTTAAAAAATATATATATGTTTTTATTTACTTTAGAGAGAGGAAGGGAGAAGGAGAGCAAAACATTGACTGGCTACCTCCTGCATACCTCTACTGGGGATCAAGACTGCAACCTGGGCATGTGCCCTGACTGGAAATCAAACCGTGACCTCCTGGTTCATGGGTCGATGCTCAATCACTGAGCTATACCAGCCAGCCTATTAATTCTAGTTTCTAATACTAGTTTTTGAATATTTTAAAGGCAACGTTAGTAAATCTGTATTAAAAATGAGCAATATGTGGAGGAGGAAAAGGATTTTCACAGTTAAATGTCTATCCTTTTCAGGTCCCTCAGCACCACCATTGCCATCTGTTATGTCTCCTAGCAGGGTTGCAGCTAGTCAACTGGCTCAACAAGGAAGTGATTTAATTGTTCCTGCAGGTATTCACTGCACTCATTGGATAAAGCACTTCTTGCTACTGCTGAAGCTAAATTAATTCACTCAATTTCATAATCACTTGCTTAATACTCTTAGGTGTGTGTTATTCTGACTTTTTTGGTGGCTGCTGCTTTTTCTTTTTCTTTCTTAGCAATAAGGGAGATGATCATTCTAGCCATACATATCTTTCTGACTTTTAAAAGTTATTAACTATATCTCATACCTGAAATTTAATTCACTTTAAGATTTAAAAACATGGTAAATTTTGATTCCTTTAAATCATCCTTTCTTTGTTCTGGGAAATGTAGGTTCACTTACTTGATCCTAAACTCTCAACTTTGCAGCTCTGCTCTCTGTTTTCAAGTTAAACAAGGAAGATGTCTTCGACAGTTGGGTTGTTCCTTGTTTGAAATGGGTCATGTGTCTTCCTATTTTCAACCTCAGCTTACAGATAGTTTGCAGACTATAACAAAATACTATGTAATTTACTAGTTTGCCCAATGAAAAATACTTGGGGAAAAACCCATTTCTTTGCACTGAATTTATTCTCCACTTTAATATTTCTGGACTATAAAAATGGGAAAATAATTGAACACCATATTTCTTTTTATATGACATGTTAACATTTTGTATTTTGTTTTTATGAGAATTTTGGGTTTTTTTATATACATCATTTTAAAAAATAAATATTTAAAAAATAAATATTTCTGTATTGGTTTCAGAGAGGAAGGGAGAGGGAGAGAAACATCAGTGATGAGATAGAATCATCGATTGGCTGCTTCCTGCACACTCCCCACTGGGGAATCGAGCCCGCAACCAAGGCATGTGCGCTTGGCCGGAATTGAATCTGGGACCCTTCATTCCTCAGGCCAATGCTCTCTCCACTGAGCCAGGCTGGATAGAGCTATGTACATCATTTTTTAATTTTAGATTATGCTAAAGCTCTGGTAAAAGCTGATCTTGCTATAGGAGTGAGAAAAGAAATTTTTGCTGACTAATTTTCTTAAACCATTTGTTGTAACTTTTTATCTTATTTCATTGTTCTTCTAAAATTATAAAGTTTTTATCCCAAGTCATTAGTATCATAAATGTTTAATAAATATTTTATTTTTTGAAAAATATTTTAAAATTAAGAATTAGATAGTTGCATTGTTTTTTATGTCAGGGCATCAGACTGCCTTTAATAATTATGGGTTTTTTTTTATGGAGGAGGGGGTGTCTCTTAAGAAAAAAAGAGGTACAATATAGGTCTTGTTTTAACTCAGCCTTTCATACTGATTGTAAGATATTTTTAATGATTGTTTGAAATTTGAATTGTATTTTTAAATCCTCCATAATTACAGTAATGTTCTATTGTTGTCTGGTCTGCATTGTACAGTAAAAGGAGATCACAGTGTGAGGGTATGTGGCCTTTCAGATTTTTACTGACACAGGTCATTAGATTATAAGATTAATTGTGGAAATTTTATTTTTCTTCAACTAAAAAGCACTTGTTTAGAAAAGAAGGCTGATTGCAGCTTTTTTCCTTTTTTTTTAAAGAAGATGACAAGCACATGGCATTTGTGTTTAGTAGAAATATTTTTTAAGTGTTAGGAAATTATCTTCAGTTATTCCAGGAAGTTATAGACCTTCAGTTTGTGGGAACCTTCTCATTTTTTTAAATGCATAAGTAGTTTAATTTGAACAGCATCAATGTTTTTGTTTTTTCCCCCCCTTTTTTGTCATTACCTGGCTTGTGTTTTTATCTTTTGTGTTTATGATCATGCAGGTGGCCAGAGAACACAGACAAAAAGTGGACCAGTTATTTTAGCCGATGAAATTAAAAATCCCGCAATGGAAAAGTTAGAACTTGTTAGAAAATGGAGTCTAAACACCTACAAGGTTTGTAATTTTTTTTTAATGTTTCCACCCTAACTAGCTCTAGAAATTTATATTTGTGTTATTCAAATTATTTTGCAATTGTTTGAACACATAAGAGAGCATAATGCTATCTAAAAATGAAATTACAATTGGAAAATGAAATGTTTTGTTTTTTTATTGACCTTTATATAAATGTAGTTTAAAAAGTCAATAGGAAAAGGGTAAAAAACAAAAACAAAAAAAACTATTAAGATGCTTATTAATTTATAGATAGAAATATATTACCTTGAAATATATTTAGTTGTAGAATTGCTATAGATATGTTTGTCCCTACTTCCCTCTTTTTGATATTTTATAGTAGCGATTTTCAAATCTTTTTCATCTCATGACACACAAAAACTAATTGCTAAAATTCTGTGGCACATCAAGAAATTTATTTTTTGCTGATCTGACAAAAACAGATATAATTTTAATTAATTCCCACCAGACGGCTATTGTTATATTGGCTATTGTCATTTTTTAAATTTATTTTACAAACTAAGGGAAAAGAGGTCAGTGCCCCTGATTAAATAAATAGTCAAGCATTGCATGGTTTAAACATTCTTGTAGTGTGTGCTGCAGCACACAGGAGAGTCTAGGCTACCTATCAAACTGTTAATAGTAGTTCTGAAATACTTAGTGGGATTAAAAGAAGAAAGGGAAATTTTATTTCCCTCATTATTTTAATTTTACAACAAATATTAATTCTAACCAAAACTTTGAAAGAGATGATAAAAGAGCATATTTGCTCTTTAAGAAATTGTAATACTGTACTTACTACTTATTAGAACTTCTTTCTTTAAATGATGAGGAGTATATTAATATCCGGTAGGTTATTTATAAAATGTATTATTGAATAGTGAAATTGCTTATAATTTTTTATTTCTAACAAAAAATACTAGAAAATTTATTCTAGTATGCTCTGAAATTAGGTATTTTTTTAAAGTATTTTTTTTATCATTATTTCTGAGGCAGAATGGAATAATATAATTTAATTCAATTTGAGCAAAAGTAAAAGAATTCAGAAATCTCTAATATCCTTTCTTCTCCTCCCTCACCCCTCTCTCTCTTTTCCTCCTATTCCCCCCAGCTCTAATCTATCTTCTTTTCTCCCCCCCCTGCCCTTCTTCCCTTCATTTCTCCCACTAACACACATACGTATGGTGGTTTAAGGGGAAGATAAAAGGAGGAAAGTCATATGAAATCAATAGGAGAGTGTAATTTGATATTATTATTCCTTAGTAATTAATAGTCCAGTACTGTTCTTAAATCAGTGCTAAGTATCTCAGCTGTTTTAAATAAGCTACCAAGTGCATTAAGCTTAAAATACGATTTTGTGAGAGCTTATCTGGTAATATATAAATCAGCTAGATAAGTCTTAAAACATCCTCTGATTAGTAGTAGTTATTAGACATGTCTGGTAAATTTATTTTCTGAGTCCTAATGAACTTATAAAGGGGCACTGACAGTTTTCAGTTGTTGGTCTGCCTTTTATGAAGCCAGAAATGATATACATCATATGCTCTAGCATTTTACTTTGGATTGCTGCATTATTCTTTTTCTTTTGTTCCTTTTTTTCCTTCCTAAACAAAATGCATCTTTTCACTTTTAGTGCACTCGACAAATTATCTCTGAAAAGCTAGGCCGTGGATCAAGAACTGTGGACCTTGAACTTGAAGCTCAGATTGATATATTAAGAGATAACAAGAAAAAGTATGAAAATATTCTAAGACTTGCTCAGACATTGTCAACCCAGCTTTTCCAGATGGTACATACACAAAGGCAACTTGGAGATGCTTTTGCTGACCTGAGTTTGAAGTCACTAGAACTCCATGTAAGATTATTTTAAATAACTATGGGACGGGAGAAGGCGAGTGGCGATAGGAATATTCTAAGAGGTAGTTTGTTACATTTCTGATTTGCTGAAGTCTTAAATTGCAATCTTGAGAGTTTTTTTAAAGATGTCCTATATAATAAAACTCTAATATGCAAATTGACTGAATGGTGGAACGACCTGTTGCTATGATGCACACTGAACTGACCACCAGGGAGCAGATGCTCAATGCATTGAGCGTCTGGCACTTTCCACACACACACACACACACACACACACACACACACAGAGAGAGAGAGAGAGAGAGAGAGAGAGAGAGAGGCGCGCAGAGGCAACTGGTGGTGCCAGGCCACCAGCCAAGGCAGGTGCCAGAAAGGGGGTGGGGCAATTGCCCTGCCTGCCAGTCGCCTTGCAAAGAAAGGTGACTGTAGGCAGCAAGGGACAGAGCTGGCCAGTGAGTGGTGCCAGGCTACCAGCCAAGGTGGGTGCCAGTGGAGGGCCCCCCCCCCCATCGCTCCACCTGCTGGTCACCCCACAGATGGCCCTGATTGTCGGCTAGACCTAGGGATCCTACCCTATATATTGGAAATAGTCTTTTAGGTTTAAACATTAAAACCTGGCAAGGCTACTCTAACACTGAAAAAAACAGGATGATACAGCGATAACATGCATGGACTCTGGCTTCCACATTTTGTGGTCAGCCCTGATTCTGACATTTATAAATGTGTGACAAAGCCAGTTACTTAACTTCTCTCTGCTTCAGTTTTTCCACCAATAAGATGGAGAAAATGGTACAACTGCCTCAGAAGGGTCATATTCTGTACTACTTTTTATAATCAAGGCAAAAAAATGTAGTTGCCCATATGATAGCAAGATGCCTTTTACCTGTATGAAAAATATGATAACTGGTGCATGCAGCTTCCCGTATTGTGAAAGGGATGTCTGACTGCTGGTTTAGGCCTGACATCCCCTGAGGGGTCCTGGATTGTGAGAGGACACAGGTCAGGCTGAAGGGATCTCCCCTAGGTGTTGTCACGCCCCCCCCCACGCCCCCGTGCATGAATTTTGTGCACCAAGCCTCTAGTCTAATATAATTTTTAAGAAGGCCAGACTGACTGGCTGGCCTTCTTAAGATGTCAGCTGGAGGCTTCAGGGGAAGGGAACTTGATTGGAGGGAAGGAAATGGAATACTAAGCCTGCCTGAACCTAGAAAGAGTCATAGCTATGTAGAGCTGGGTGTGGATAAAATGTAAATCTGGGCATCTATTGAAAATTCACTCTTGCTTAGTCTCCTGTTGTCTTGAACAAATAATAACTTGCTTGACTGGATTTGCAATATATTTTTACTCAATCATTAGTATAAATTGTGAGTCTTAGAATGAAATTACTTTTCTGCAGACATTTCTATTCAGCAAAATTGATAATTGATAATATAATGAAATTGATAATATAATGATAATTATATTATTGATAATATAATGAAATTGATAATATAATGAAATCTTAGTTTATGACTCTTTTGATGATATCCCAGAAAATTCATCCTAAATTCAAGGGTCAGTAAGTAACAATGTATTATTAAGGACAAAAAGGAACTGTGGTAGTGTATGAGTCAGGATTCTCCAGAGAAAAAGAACCAGCTGGGTGTGTGGTTATATAGATATTTATTTTAGGAGCTGGTTCCCACAATTATGAAGACTCGGTACATAAGAATCTGCAAGGTAGGCTGGCAGGCTTGAGACCCAGGGAGGACTGCAGTTTGAGTTCAAAGGGCAGTCTGCTAGCAGAGTTCCTTCTTGCTTTGGGAGGTCAGTTTTCTAGTAAGGGCTTCAGCTGATTGGAAAAGACCCATTTTACATTATGGAGGACAGTCTACTTTGCCTACAGCCCATTAATTTAAATCTTAATCTTATCCAAAAGCACCTTTACAGAAACATCCAGAATAATGTTTGATCAAGTATCTGGATGCCATGGCCTCTCCAAGTTGACATAAAATTGACCATTTCAGGTATTTTCATCTAGTTAGTCCTTCAGAGGAGTGACTCCCTTTATGCAACATTTTGGGTCAAGAATCTGGACCATCCTATTTTGCTAAAAAGACATGATATATTATTCTTTTATGATGTTTGTGCACCAGAATGTGCTTGATATGATTTGTTAGTGAAGGCAAGTGTGTATACTTAAGTGAGTTGAAGGAAATAGAAAATTCATCGGCTTTTACATTCTAATTGATGTTTACAGATGTAAAAATAATGGTAAACCAGCCCTGGCCAGGTGGCGTGGTTAAAGTGTCATTCCATATACCAAAAGGTTGCCAGTTCGATTCCTGGTTAAGACACATACCTAGGTCATGGGTTCAATCCACAGTCAGTGTGCATATAGGAGGCAACCCATTGATGTTTCTTTCTCTCTCTCTTCCTTCCTTCCTCTATTAAAAAACAACAACATGCCGAAACCGGTTTGGCTCAGTGGTAGAGCGTCTGGCTGCGGACTGAAAGGTCCCAGGTTCGATTCCGGTCAGGGACATGTACGTTGGTTGCGGGCACATCCCCAATAGGGGGTGTGCAAGAGGCAGCTGGTCAATGTTTCTCTTTCATTAACGTTTCTAGCTCTCTATCTCTCTCCCTTCCTCTCTGTAAAAAATCAATAAAATATATATTTAAAAAAACAACAACAACAAAAAACCCCCACAACAACAACAAAACAGTTAAAAACACATATCCTCTGGTGAGGATTAAAAAATGATAATGGTAAATTAGAACCTACTGGAGATGTACTTGAATCTGGAATCAATATTTACTGGATGGATGTTTTTATATCAGGGTTTTCCAGAGAAATAGAACCAATAAGAGAGAGATATACACTACACACACACAAAGAGATTTATTTTAAGGAATTGCGGGGGTTGACAATCTGAAATCTGTAGGATAGGCCATCAGGCTGGAAACTGAAGCAGGATTTTTCTGTTACAGTCTTACAGCAGAATTCCTTCTGGAAACCTCAGCCTTTTGTGCATAAGGCTTTCAACTATTTGAATGAGGCCACCCACATTATGGAAGATAATCTCCTTAAAGTCAACTTTAAATCACTTCTCCAATGTTTATCATTGTAAATGTTACTCGAATCAACAAAATCTGTATTTTCATAGCAACATTTGGACTGGTGTTTGACCAAGCAAATGGACACCATAGTCTAAACAGGTTTATACATAAAATTAACCATTACAACCCTTCATTTCAATTTAGCACTTATAGACATGTTCTTAAACCATATTTAATCTCCAAATAAAGACAATAATAAAGTCTTTTCCACCTAACGTGATACACTGTCCTGTAGACTAAGATATATTAACTCCCCAGAAGAGGATGCAAAGTCCTTGGGTAATGTCCACTTTTTTCTTTGATATACTATAACTTAAATGACTATGATGTAAAGTTAACATATAGTGTTACATGATAAGGGGATAAGAGAGGGAAGGGAAAAACAAAGGTATTTATATCAATACACACATATGTATTTATGACAAAATAAGGAAGAAACACTCATTAAAAGTATAGTCCTTATTTCTACAAATGTCCACATAGTCATAGCCGCTTCCACTACCCATTCTATATTGCATTTGCTTTCAACCAGCCCCTTACCTGTCATGGTCCTTTGCTTGGTAGAGTGACCCAAATCATTGATATTAGTCACAGATCATAGGAATACTAGGAGACGCCTTAAGGATTACCTATATTCCAGGCATACTCTTCCTTACCTACATTGCAGAGCAGCAATCCAGTTTTCCTTTGGTAATCAGGATCACTCATGTCAGCTTGCAAAGTTACTCTCTTCTTTGCCTGTTGATTCTTTTTTTTTAAATATATATTTTTAGTAATTTTTAGGGGAAGGAGGATTGATGAGAGAGGAACATCAACATCCATCAGCTGCCTCAGGCACGTGCCCTAATTAGGAATTGAACTGGTGACCTCTTGGTTCCTGGGTCATTCTCAACCGCTGAGCCACACCAGCCAGGCCTCTGTTGATTCTTTATGAGGATAACAGGTGCAGTAGTGAAGAGTTGGTGTCCATTGTCTCCCACCTTATGCTGTATTAGCTGAGATCCGTGGAAAATACTTAACACAGGGCCTGGCAAATAATGGTACTGAATAAATTAGGATGGATGTAATAGCTGTTGATGAGATTTTGAGATTTTGACATTTGGAAGTTGAGGAAGAATTTAAAGATTAGTCCAATTTCTTCCTTTTTTAGAGAAACAACCAACATCTACCAGTAAAAAAGCCGATGTCCTGAGGGTGATAGGAAATGAGATTTTAACAAATATCTGTCATCTGTCTGAATCTTTATACAGATTATCTCATTATACTTCCTATCAGGTGTGTATGGGAATGATCTTTTTTAAATAAGGAAATTAAAACACAAAGAATTTGAATTATTCACAAAAGATACAAATCCAGTCAATGGCAGAATCAAGATGTGAACTTCCAAGTTTGAATTACCAAACTAGACTGTTACCATTTTATCACATGCCTTCTGACTTCTGTTATACCATGGTATTTCATTAAATTGTATTTTCTCAATATAAAGGGTAGCATCTACATCAAAATTTGGAAAATTCACACAACCCAAATTACTATCAATTATCAATTAATACTTATTATGTTTTTACTGCTGTATTATTATTTAAAATAACCCACTTGTTATCAATTACATAATTATATTACTAAAACTTGATGTTTTAGAACTAATCAAATGTTTTAATTATTTAGTCCTAATGTGTAAGTTTAATAAGAAGTGCTGTTCATTTACATCTGGTAAATTTGCATCTGATGGATGTAAATGAAATAGGAGCTGCTAAAGAATAAAAAAATTTTCAAACTTTGTTCTCTCCATATGTAAAGTAATAAATTTTTAGGTCAGGGAATTGGACTGGCTTTCCTTCTTCGGTGACAGATTAGAACCACAACTTTGTTCTTGATGTATATACTCTTATTTGTTTAGTTTATTTGTAATTACTAAGGCAATTCACAAAAATGTGTAAAATGTCCCTGTCTAAAGAATAGTAACATAACTTATCAACTAAATGAAGTTTAGGAATTATGTTTTATCATAATTTCAGTGCCAAAACATATTTAATTATTTATATAGTTATTCATAATGCATGTACATATATATATTTCTTTCTAGTGTCATAATTATTTTATGTCTTTTACTACTATATCTCTTGTAAAAATGCTTTTTTATTCTAGCCAGTTAAGTTTTCAAATTATACATTAAAATCTTAAGTTTTATACACATTCTTATCACAAAATTATAAGTGAGATTCACATTCATGAAACAGAATAGTGTCAGTTTACTCCTCCTGTCTGCTTTGAATTTCATCTGTAAATATAGGATTCAAATTCTGTAATATACTATTTCTGCTGCTGTTTCATCTTATTATGTTCAAGTTTTTTGTTTGTTTTTAGTAAAAGAGCAGCCTTCTAGGATGTATAGATTTTCCTGAGTTCAGCGTATAGAGTACTGGACCTCTAAATGGAAAATACTTTTAGCATATTAAGATAATTTTACTTTCCTGCTATTTATTAACTGTTGAATATATTATCTCCTAAAAATTTAATTATAGCTATAGCACTAGTATTAAATTTGCATCTTCTAAGATTCAAGTTAATTTAATATTACATTCTCTTCAGCTAAATTAAAAAATTTGTATAACAAACTTCTGAATTTTCAAATTAAGTAATACATCTTACAGTATGGTCAACATTTTTATTTGGTCTGATGTGTTCCTGATAATCTGTTAATTAATCAAACTTGGACTGTAAAGCTTTACTGCTGAAAATTTAGAGTTAGTCCTTGCCATATCTGAAGGAGCTATGTGTAATGTTGCTAAGCCAAGATTCAGTTTATTCAAAGAAATGAATTCAGTGGTGTTGAGTGATCCTTCCTCAGCTGTATGCCCAGATAGACCTGAGCTTGGGCGTCAACTGGTCACTAAGTTTACAAAGAAATGTGTATTATTAATATTTATACTTCAAAGAGATTTAGTCAAAACACAAAAGCGCGATCTATTTTATGTCTGAAAGTTTTAGCCAATTGTTACCTAATTTGGTTGTGAAAGTTATAGTTTCTCTGATTAATAATCTGCTATATTTTTCTTCCTAACAGCTGTGCTTACAATATAATTGAAACAAAAAGGAGGAATGAAAATATTCTTTTTTGTACAAAGTAGTTTAGCTTTTTAAAATTATTTATTTTGCTATGCATCTGAGCTGATGACAATTTTGGTAATAATATAGCTAGCTATAATTTAGATTCCTATTTTTTTAAACATTGACCGAAAAATTGTATAGCTACCGTAGATTTCTAAATTAAATAATTTGCCATTAGTGATGTTTGAGAGTTTTAAAATAAATTTACTAATTTATTACTAGATAAGTTAAGGTGACTTTTTGTTTTAGGAAGAATTTGGTTATAATGCAGACACCCAGAAGCTACTGGCTAAAAATGGAGAGACTCTTCTTGGAGCCATTAATTTTTTCATTGCCAGTGTGAACACTTTGGTGAATAAAACAATTGAAGATACATTAATGACTGTGAAACAGTATGAAAGTGCCAGGTTGGTATAAATTTTCATTAAATTATCTCTTTTACAGATGGTATGCAATTCTGTAAGGATTTTGTTTGTAAATAAGAGAAACCAACTCTGGCCATTATGGGCATTTCATGAATGTATTAGGTTATAGGATAGCCTTTGAAGCCAACAGAATGGCAGAAGAAGAGAAAACCAAGATAATTCCTCCTAAGAATCTAGTTAGGACCCTGATGCTGTGTACCCCTGCTACTTCATGCTGCCACAGCTACCATAAATAATTTCCAAAGACCCCTGAATATTTGCTTCATTGCCTTTAAGGTGCTCGAATGAATCTTGGTCATGTGCCCAAACCCTGGCTGCTAGGGAATAAGGAGATGAAGGCTCTCCCAGTTCCAGCTTCCTTAGAAGGGGACAAGGCCTTGTGTTCTACCAGGTAGATACTAGATGCCCTCTATAATCTGTCCTAAGCCTACCTTTTTACCCTTATTTCCATTGCTTCCCACTGTAAGCAGTTCACTGCTTCTGTAATAGCCAGACTAATAGTTTATTTCTCTTGAATTTACAAGCTCATTTCTGTCTTTTTGATTTTGTTCATGTTTTGGATACTAACTCCCTGATCTTCCATTTATCCAGATTATAACCAGTCTTCAAATTCTTTCAAATTTTACCTTTTATATAAATTAAATATTTGCCTTACATTGTCATAGCTGTGTATAATGTAGTGTTTTCATACATTTTATATACTAGTATACACACTCACATACACAATTTCTCCATCTCATTACCATCCTATTAGGTAAATAAAGTACATATTAATAAATACTTACAAATGTCTAAAGAAGTAGCAGACCCATGATAGCAGTTTTCAACTTTTGATTCCAGATTCAATTCTGCTCCCCCCTTCTCCCCCTCACACAACTCATTCAAGGCCCCTTGAAGTGTTTTTTTCTTCTTACCACTTGAAATTTTATTTTCTGTTAGTATTCTTTTTCTAGTGTAATTGAAGTACAAGCTTTACCTTCTAGAAGTTTAACTTTATTTTTTTGGCCTCTTGCCCTAGTTTAATGGTGTGAGAAATGCTTATGCAAACTTTAAATTCATCTAGTCTTTTTTGCAGTTAAGTGCTTATTCTTAAGTATGTATTTTTTTATGCTTTACATACATTAAAAGCCCAAATCACTTGGAAAGTTAACTTTGATCTTTCCACAAGAAGAGGTGCTTCTATCCTATGCTATGTTTGTAATTTTCAATTTAGTATTAACATATGTGATTCTTAATGATTTGGGAATGAAGGTTAAGACAGATAGCTGTGGTTGTCTGGTGGGAGGAAGAAAAAGAAGGGGCTCAGTGCCATAGCTAGGTTTTGGATTTTTTTTTTTTTTTTTACTTTATTATTTACTAACATAGTATTAAAATCAGAAAGTGGAAAGGCAGAAACAGAATCTATCAATAGGGTATTCCTCAGTAACATGGAAGGAGTCTCTCAATAAGATATATTTCAGTAGGAATCACTTCAATAATATTTCCAGTAATTGGTTCTCTAATTTCTATTTAAGTCCTCTCATGACCTTGGCTGTATGTTTCAAAGGATTCATTTCTATAAATTCTATTTTATTCTTTTTCAAATCTGTCTGTTCCTTATTCATAATGTCCTAATTTGTTTATAATGAATACTCTTTATCTCTTTAACCATTTTAAGCACTCTTGTTTTAATATTTGTAGGATTTGAAGTTGAAAATTGTTTTGTCACAAAAGCATCCCCAGTTAAACACTGCATTACTCTAGTTCTGTTTCTCTAGTTTATAATTGTCTACCTACTTTGAAATACATGTATGCAGTTAATAAAAAATATTTTTTTCAAAATGTAAAATATATTTTATTTTAGACATGTAAATCTTTCTCTTCAACCTTTATTTCTGACATGCTTTTAAAAATATTAGCTCATATTAAAGAAAGACAAATTTGTTAGGTAAGTCACTCCATACGTATTTTTTATTTAATTTGCAGAGAAAAAAAATAAACCTCTAGACATTGGTTTGCTCACTTGGTTTGCTAATTTAAAATCAAAATGAGAATCCATGAGCTTCCTACCTTCTACTTTTGATCATTAGGCCTCAGCTTAAACTGCATTTTTTAAATATCAAATTTTTACATCTTATTATAGAAATAATTTTTGTATCTTATAATGAGAAATCTGACAAAGCACAATGTGATATCTCAGTTTATCTAGTACAGAGGTTTGTTTGAAATTTCAACAAAATTGTAAGTCAAGTTATATATACTTAGTAGCTGATTATCAGGAAACGTTTAAACATCCTTTGCATGTGCTTTAAAAACCCCCACCAATAATGACCTCGCCCATAATTTGTTCTTTTTATTGAAATTACAGCATATGATTTTATTCATCAAGCTTAACTTGGGGTTTGACTTCTCTGTGCTTTTTTTAAATAGCTAAGGAATTAACTGGTTGTCATGCCAAAGCATTGCCTACTGAGGGATAACATGTAAAAAAAAAATCCCAGATTAAAAATTTCTCAGTAACTGAATTTTCTTCTCTGTCAAAACCAGAATTTACTGACTTTTAGGGCAAGGGTCAGCTATTTGATCCAGCACAGAAAGTGGCAATTTAGGCAGATGTTGGGGTAGCCTTTTAATGCTCCCCATTGTGCATTGTATACAAGTATTTCCTAGCCCTTTGGTGCTTCAAGTATAAAAAATCAAATAACGGCCCATTCAACACTTCTTTACAGCAGCACCAACAAGGGAGTCAATTGTAGTCAAGACTTTTCAGATCTGGACACCTATTCTCTAGAAGTTTTACATAAAACATAAAGTAACCAACTATCACTAACTTTGTTGATATGGACTCAGTACAGACTGGCAGTTGAAGAGTTACATTTTGAAAACAGTATGCTTCTCTTTCTGGTTGTAATGAGCACTGTTAAAGAAGCCCTTATGGAAGGTTTTACTTTGATACCATCTACAAACTTTGGATGTAAACATTAAGGAAATATAAGGTCAGCTTTATAACTTTGATTATGCTTTATAACTTTAATCACTATTGTTTCAAAGATGTGCTCCAAGGCAATTTAAGGATATTTGTCTTCACATTAAACCACCACATACCACTATTTATTTTTGTTCTACTTTTTTTCTTTTTTGTAGTTTTTTTTTTTTTAGTATGTTTGCTTTAGTTATTGCTCTTCTAATTTGGCCATAATAATAAGCACTCTAAAGATATTAGTTAATACCTGCAATCCTGACTACTTTATATATATGAAGCAGGAAGAGCTAAAATAGCTGAAGACATTAGAGCCAGGGAAGGATAGAGTGCTCATCCAATTGGCTCTATACAGTGGAACCCATGGAATTTAACCAACTTATTACAAAGTCAGTCTTGCCTCCTAAATCTGTCTCCTCCTCAGCTTCAGTGCTATTGTCCTGATTAAGTGACTCATTTTTCTTTTGCCCATTATGATCTAATTGGTTTCCTTGTTTCTGATTTCTTAATCTTCAACTCCAGTTCATCTTCTATTCCTTACACTACTACTGTAATCATCTCTCTGTCCTGAACAAATTGCACATGTTCTTTCTGTGGCTTCCCATCCCTTCTCCTATGAATTAAATCTGATCCCTTTAGCATGGCCTTTAAACCCTGCTCAATTTCAGTCTTGTCTGCCTGTTTGTGATTCCTCCCATTATGTGGTCCAACTTCAGGTTCTCACATACTGAATTACTTTCCAAATGTTTAATGGTATCTTACAACAGACAAAAATACACCTTTGTCCATAGTATTCTCTTCCTTGAAAATTCTACCAATTTCCCTGCCCCAATCTACCTTTTAAGCTTTTATCATCCTCTCAAATTTTATTTTAGTGTTTTAATTCTACTCTGAGATGCCTTTCAAATATCTAGTTATGTATTTCTTCCTCTTGATTTTCACTCTGTTTTATCCTCTCTCATGGCAGTTTCCGTCATCTCATTTTGTTGTAATTGTTTAAGAACTTCTCTCCCTCTAGACGAAACTTCTCAAAGATAAACTTTATCTGTTGCCAAAACCAGTTTGGCTCAGTGGATAGAGCGTCGGTCTGTGGACTGAAAGGTCCCAGGTTCGATTCCGGCCAAGGGCATGTACATTGGTTGCGGGCACATCCCCGGTAGGGGGTGTGCAGGAGGCAGCTGATCGATGTTTCTCTCTCATTGATGTTTCTAGCTTTCTATCTCTCTCCCTTCCTCTCTATAAAAAATCAATAAAATATATTTTAAAAAAACAAACAAACTTTATCTGTTGCTCTTTATAACTCTACTTTCTAGAACAGTGCCTGGAACATAGAATGTGTTCACTTAATATTTGTTGAATGAATCAATGTATCAGTGAATGAGTAAATGATTATTTTGCCCAGAAAGATCAAGTTTGTTCAATTCAGTACAAGAATAAATTAGGTTCAGAATATTCTTTCTCAAGTCTTATATACAATATATTTTGACATTTAAAATATTCATAATTCTCAGAAAAGGAACTGTGACTTATACTAGAGAGATTTGAATAAAGAGCATTATTTTTAGGTCATAAATTTTGTAGTGCTGATTTTGTCTAAATTAGAGGTCACTTTCTTCTTGACTGAGTAAGACTGCTGGTAAGTCACTGTTTAATAAACAAGATAGTATTATACTTTCACAGGTGCTGTGTTTGAGGTATTATGAGGTGCTTATGGGATCATGGAGTGATAATGGATGAGGTAACTATTTCAGTTAGTTGTGGGAGAATTAGGAGTGTACATCTCAGGGAACACAAGGTGGTAAATGCTCTATAATAAATGCTGTGTCACATTCTGAATACTAATGCTATAGAAATCCATCTGAAGTTGTGCTATCTTATATGCTAAGCCCTTGAAGTGAGGCTAGCCTGAATTGAGTGGTGATGGGAGTGTAAAATACATGTTGGATTTCAAAGACTCAGTATCCCCCAAAAGTAAGATAGTTTATTAATAGTTTTTTACATTGATTACATATTGCAGTGATAATGTTTTGGATTTTTAAAATAAAATGTAGAAAAACATGTGAAATTAATTTTTGTTTGACTACTAGAAGTTACATATGTGGCTTGTGCTGTAGTTCTGTTGTGCATTGCTGACATAAACTGTACTTGAAGGACTACTGACCCTCAATTTAGCTTCCTTTTATCGGTTTATTTTAAGTATCTCATTCTAAAGTCCATCCTCACCTGCTTTACCTTATCAGTATTAACCAGATCACTATTCTTGTTCTTGTTAACATTAGATTTTGACTTCTGGTTTTTCAAACTGGTTTTCACATTTTGGAAATTTTACTTGTCAGTTAATACTGTACTTTAGGAGGAATAGTTAATGAGATTAGGGGGTAGCTTGTTTCCCGCCATGCTTATATTAATAGTTTTTTGTATTAAAAAAATACATCATTTTAAAAGCATAAGGTATAAAGTATATATATAAATTATTATCTATTAAGGCATAATATAAGACTGTGATGTTCTTCTAACTCACTTCTTGAACCCATTTCACTCTGTTTTGTAATGTGCTTTACTTATTCTCTTTTTTTCAGGATTGAATATGATGCATATCGAACTGATTTGGAAGAACTGAATCTTGGACCTCGTGATGCAAACACAATGCCAAAGATTGAGCATTCACAGCATATGTTCCAAGCACATAAGGAAAAATACGATAAAATGCGAAATGATGTTTCTATCAAGTTGAAATTTCTAGAAGAAAATAAGGTGAATTTATTCTTTACTTTCTGAGATCTTTCTGTGAACTTTTAAAAGACACCCTAAAGAGCAATAAATAGAAAGTTTTTGTTTCTGTTAACTCTCTTTCATTACAATTGCAAAATGGAATTTCACCTATAATTTTCACCTGCAGTGTTTGAGTTATCCAAAATATTTTTACCTTTCTGTTGTAAAAGTCACATTAACTCTACTGTCCTAGTCTTTCATGTATAACAGTCGGCAAAAAAATCTATAATGATAGATTGCTCTGGATGTTTTAAAACCTTTTTATTAATGGTAGGTACAAATTTCAGGAAGGGAAGAGTATTCTTTGCAGTAATTGGTAAATGAGGAATGACTAAAAAGTCCAGCTTAGAGCTGCATTTGGCATAATCTAGATGAAGTTAGCAAAGAAATCAATTTTCACGTTATTTTCATGTGCATGAATACATCCAAGGACTAGGATGTGAAAGCTGAGATGGACCTACCTACTGTAGGCTTCACTTGGAGATGGATTCATATAATATTATGCTCCTTAGTTTTGGTTTAAGTAAAGCATAGGTTCCCATTTTAGCATGTCTTCCATTACATGCATATTCATTTTTGTGAGCGAGCTGCAATTCTGGAAGTGAGAGTGTGAATAGGTGTAGTAGCTCAGTTCCATGGAGAGGGAGTCCTTCCATTTCACATTTGTGATCCCTTCCTGTGCTTTGCACATCTTTTGAAGCTATGATAGGCCTTTTACTCTGCTTTTTTCCAGGTATTCTCTTAAAATTATTCTTCAGTTTGAGTTGTCTGTTGATATGTTCTTCTTTGCCTTAGCATTTCCTTAGAAACACTTCTGGTTACCATAAAAGCTGCAGAATGATACATTTCCTTGAGGCCTACCAAGCCCAGCACTACACTCCCCCTTTTTAGCTTCAATGGGTGAAAAATAATTCATGTGAATACACTACAATGAAAGTAAACTTCAGCAGAGTTATCAGACATTTTGTCTGGCATCATTCAAACAAGGGCACAGTGCTGATGGTGAGCACATAGATGGCATAATATTAGTCATTCATATGTGTCAGTTATGCTGTGTGATAGTTTTATGGATAGGAATATATCAATACTTAGATATAGATGTATATTTTAAATATGAAAATATTTCGACAAACTGCCTTATAATGGTTCAACACTAGGCAAATATAGTGCTAAATGAATTTTGCTAGAATGTTATGGGCTCTACCAAAAGCTAATTTGAAGGGAAAGTATTTGGGGGTTCAGGACTTTCGCAAACATAGGAAATGATTTTAGAAAACTTATAAAATGATAATTGCATTCCATTGTGATCTAATGGTATTGTAAGCTATTCTCTGGATAATGAAATTATGAGTAATTTTTGTTTTCTATATATATTTTTAATACTTTAGACAATTTCTATTAAAGGTTGTGTTGCACTTATTAAAAGGAGAAAAAGTCCCTGGACGTTGTGGCTCAGTTGGTTGGAATGTTGCCCCATATACCACATGGTTTCAAGTTCTATTTCCAATTAGGGCACATACCAGGTTGCAGGTTCGATCCCCAGTCAGCGTGGGTGCAGGAGGCAATTAATTCATGTTTCACTCTCATATAGATGTTTCTCTCTCTCTCCCTCTCCATTCTTTTTTCTAAAAAAGAAAAGGAGGGAAAGTTATTTTGAAAGAATTGGTACCTTTAAACCAGCTATTCTTATATAGATTTTGCCAGAGTAAATAAAAATGAGCAGATTAGCCAAAACCGGTTTGGCTCAGTGGATAGAGCCTAGGCCTGCGGACTGAAAGGTCCCAGGTTCGATTCCGGACAAGGGCATGTACCTTGGTTGTGGGCACATCCCCAGTAGGGAGTGTGCAGGAGGCAGCTGATCGATGATTCTCTTTCATAGATGTTCCTAACTCTCTATCCCTCTCTCTTCCTCTCTGTAAAAAATCAATAAGATATATATATTTTTTTAAGTGAGCAGATTACACATGAATAGACAATGGCCATTTACTGCTACTTCTCTTACTGTAACTATTTTTGAAACTTGGCAGTAGGTCCCAGAATTAGACATGAATCAGGAAAGGCACTTTTTATCAGTTGCTATGCATTTTACGTATATCCTATCACTTAATCCTCGTAACACCCTTCATTCACTGCAATAGCTGCAAAAAGGCAAGAATACAGTGACTTCAAGACTGCATGCCAGGCCCTGGCCAAGTAGCTCAGTTTGTTAGTGTTGTGCCGATACATCAAAGCTTCAAGTTTGATCCTCAATCAGGGCACATACAAGAAGCAACCAGTCAATACATTAATAAGTGCAACAACCTGAAGGATCCCAGGTTTGATCCTGGTCAAGGGCACATGCCTGGGTTTCGGGTTCCATCCCCAGTGGGGTGTGTGCAGGAGGCAGCTAATCAATGATTCTCTCTCATCGTTGATGTTTCTCTATCCCCCTCCCTCTCCCTTCCTCTCTGAAATCAATTTTTTAAAAAGTGGAATAAAAATTGATGTTTCTTTCCTCTAAAAATCAATAAATGTTTTTTTTGTGTGTGTTTTTTTTTTAAAGACTGCATGACAGGGATTGGGAAATAACATAGGAAGCTTTGGCTTGAAGGTTGTGGAGGAGGAGTGTTGAGAGATTGTGTTTAGTTTGAGATGATGACAAGATAGTCAAGTGGAAACAATGGTAGGAAATGAGTGATGTAGGTTTAGAGTTGGGATAAGCAGGGCCAGAGCTTTAGAGATAAAGGCTTGGAAGTCATCGCTTTGAAATTAATGTCATTGTCAAATCTCTTCTTTTGACCTTTCTTATTTTATAACAAGAAAATAAAATTGGCTTTATTCTCAAGGATTTTATGTTCTTGGGTAGCCTAGAGTCCTTCTTTGTTTTTGGCTTTCCATAGTTTTAATCAGGCTAAGTTTCAGTTTGAACTCAGTAATCAACTATGTCTAAAATAAAATCTATAAGTAAACACTGATCTTTTTATCTTTTTTATTTAATTCTTCAAACTATAAAGAGATGTTGATCTCTGTTAAGCAATAAATAACTATAATTTGGATGAAGACAGGTCCATGAGAAAACTTTTATTTTTTGTTATTGTTATTGAGCAACTTTTACCCTTTCATTATTGTAGCTCTGGCAAAGAAAGGAGAAAACAAGCCTTTAGGCTGAAGAACTATCTATCATCCCTGCTTGCTTTCTTGGCAGTTTTAATTCCTCCAAATCTGGGTTTTGTTCTTTTGTTAAACTACAGCCGAATTTGTACCTTAATATCTCTTAAAATCATTTGTCAGGTAATCTACTTAGCACATGAATTTAACAACTTTCAACAATATTTATTTTTTAAATATTGTATGTTGGATTTTTTTTAAACAAAAGTTATCTGAAACATCAGTGATTGTGCTATTTTGTAATTTGATGTCCTAAAGGTTACTGCTTTTTTAAAAAGCTATTTTTGCAGCTTTGTGGAGGAGGCTGTAGGGGCTCCCTTTTGATTCTCATATCATGGCTATGCGAGTGTCTTCCCATAGCAACACTTCTCTTCTAAAATGAGGTACCAAGTAATCAAACACCCAGAATATGCATAAAATAGAAAGCATATAGTCATTGAGTAAAGGACTAAGAACCATTCCTATGACTATTGTAATAGATTTTAGTGACCCAACATTGTGAGAATGTTTTTGCTTGTTTTGTGCTTAGAATTTTTTAGCATTTTTAAAGAAGGATTAAAAGGTAGATTCATAGCTATATTTTAGAAAATTGAGGTGTTTAATATACAGTTAGTCTAACCTTCCTTCCCTGGCAAAACAAAGAGAGCAGGTATGTAAAATGCAAACATTCTTGTGTAGGTGCATGCATTAATGCTGAGTAATATGTGCACATATCTGTATTTGTCATAGATTTCTAACTGTTTTTAGAAATAGTTTTATACCTAATGGAAAACATAGAATTATTCTACTGTTTACAATCTGTACTCTTTGTCTTTAACCTAAACAACCCTTATTAATCTCTTGATATTTTCTTCCTTATTTACTAAACACCAAGGACAAAATGAATTAGGCTCTTCTAGTGTTTCTCCTTTTATCAATATTTCTCTTTTTCTAAACCTTCAAAAATGTAACTTGAGCTATCTTGTGGATTAACACAGTTTATTTACCTTTGATTGCTCCTTTCAAGGTTTAAAACAAAACGTAGGTTAAAGAGAAAAAACGTAGCCTGTGTGAGATTAGGTACCATGCCTTCTTTTACAGCGCTCTTGATGCCTAGCAATGGTGTTAAATGGATAGTAGTCATTGAGCAAATGCGTATTTGCATTTCTTCCCAGAATTAGAGGTTCCCTGAAGGCCATTGAGAGAGATGGAGGTAATTGGGATAGAGGGTGAACCCTGATTACTGCACTCTTTGCTTTAGTGAGGGCAAAGCTTACTCTTTCAGAAATGCTGCTATTGTCTGCAATTTGTACTGTTTGCATGGAAAGAGGAAACAAAAAGTTAGAGAAAAGCAAGCAGATCATTGTGAGCAACCCATGTTTATTTTTTTAAAACAACTTTTTATATGGCTTGGAGTCACATAGAACATGAAAAAAGTAATTTAAGATTAATGTTTCTCTTAAAATGGTTATAATTTAACTCGGGTAGTAACTCTCTTTTCAGGGTTGTTAATTTATTAGGATAAAAATAAAATCCTGTCAAAGATTTAACAAATTATTTTAGGATAAAATAAAAAGTAAGGATCCCATGAATTATATTATATTCTTATTCTACGAAGGATAAAATACACTCTTTAAAAGTAATGTCAGTTAATTAGCTATAATCATTACATTCAGTGTTGTTGTTTTTTTCATTTATTATATTTCAGTGACTTAAAGGATGACAAAGGGGCAAAAATTGTTAACCAGACTTGGGATCCATCCTGGACTCGTATTTGATTTATATAGTTACTTAATTTAAAATAAAATAAAAAATTTTCTCAAAAATCATTCTGATTCTTAGGTTGATAAAAAACT